CGTCTCTCTCTCTCTCTCTCTCTCTCTCTCTGTCTCTCTCTCTCTCTCTCTCTCTCTCTCTCTCTCTCTCTCTGTCTCTCTCTCTGTCTCTCTCACCCTCTCCACCTCTTGCGTTTTCACGTTTCGCCATCCCACGTCAAGCTCTCGCTTCCCCACCCCACCTCGCTCAAACATCACCCCTGGACTGTGATACTACCCCTACAATTGGACCCACCCTCTCTTTCTCCTGATGTAAATAGGGCAATAACCCCCTATAGACAATCAGATCTCAAAATCATCTTCCTACCACCCCTTCAAATGTAAATTATAGCACTTACCACCCCACATTTGGTACCCCCCACCTCCCTCAAGTTCGTCTCCGGATGCCCGGATATAACAATATGATCACCCTACCCCCTCATCTACCCGCTGAGGCACTAGAGAGGGGGGGTGAAGAAGAACTTTGAAAGTGTCCAGTTGAGCCCGAGACTTTCAGTGACCCGGGCCGGGCCGAGTAGTCCGCCGGCCCGAAGCTACTCTGCTTGTGGGATTGGTTCTCAGCAATGAATAAATTTTGTGTCAAGATTTGAAATAATATGTATCTATTTTGAATGATTGTGAAGTGTTTCCCAAGAAAGCGCGCCAAAATACAAAATGATAGGCCAGGAAGGGAGTGGGAAGGGAGGGAGGGAGGGGAGGGGAGGGAGGGAGGGAGGGAGGGAGGGAGGGAGGGAGGGAGGGAGGGAGGGAGGGAGGGAGGGAGGGAGGGGAGGTTTGACTACAGAAGGGAAGCAACAGAAGGAGAGTGAGGAAAGATATCTGTGAGAAATCAAAGGGATGAAGAAGCTACCTGGGGAATGATCTAAAGAGTATCTTACTTCACCGACTTGACTGGAAACCAACATGACTGCCGTCCAGGTTTCACAAGGAAGTTGGACGCAGCATGCCTAGTCAGCAGAAGTTTTACGACGACGACGACGACGACGACGACGACGAGAAGCTTTCAGTCCTGTCGGAGAAGAAAGGAAGGCAACTAGTTTGAATGGACAAGCTGAGGTGAAGAGGAACAAGCTCAAAGCAGAGGGCTTGGAAAAAGATAGGTGTGCCTTCTGTGAGAGAAGCTGCTTCTCTGAATGACATTTGTTGTGCAGCAAGCACCGAGCTTACATCTTGCGCATCCGGTCTTGCTCAATTACTGTATTGTTCTTGAGGATGAACCTCTAACCTTTCTGCTTAGCATGCGAAATTTCCTGCCATACGACGACACGACGATCCGACCTGGACCAAGATTGAACCTGGTGGTGGGACCCAACGGGTCTGGTAAGAGCACGATAGTGAGTGCGATCTGCCTGGGCCTCGCTGGATCTCTCAAGGTGAGAGCGTGTCGTGAGTCAGGGCGATGACCGGGATGTCAGATCATGGACCGAGGTAAGAGTGCCAGCGACTTCATCAAAAACGGAAAGAATTCAGGATCGATAGAGATAGAGTTGAGCCAACCTCACGGCAAAAAGGTCACCATCCTGAGAAAGATGAAGAAGAATGAGAAGAAGTCTGAATGGTTCATGAATGGCGAGCCGACACAGGAAAAGCAAGTTGCTGAATTCGTCAAGGAGCAGAACATCAAACTAGACAATCTTTGCCATTTTCTTCCACAAGAGAAGGTGTAGAAGACGATGATAGTCTCTGAATGGTTGTTGACCTTTTTGATTCAGGTGGTCGAGTTTGCCAAGTTGGCGGACCGACCGCAGGAGATGCTCATCAAGGTGGAAGAGGCAGTTGGCCCTCCACACATGCGAGATGATCACGAGGAGCTCATCAAAATGAGTGAGGCCGCGAGTCTCAACGCAAGAAGTTTCGAGAGCAAACAGAACCAGCTGGTTGACCCCTTGAAGCTTCACTCTTACCGACTCCCTCTCACTGACCTTTTCCTCAGAAAGAGCTTGAGGCCAAGCGAGAAACTTTGCGTGTTGCGATAGAACGGTATAAGCAGGTGCAGGATTTGAAGCAGCTGCTAGAGATCGTTGAGAAGAAGATATGCTACATCCAAGTACGACCAGAAAATTGAAAACACGATGATCATCGTTGTGACGTCTGTTTCAGCTTGAAGCTGTTCGAGTGGAGTACACGAAGCGTAAGAATGCCGTTAAGGCTTTGAAGGATGAGCTTGAAGTGAAGAAACGACAGTACGAAGAGAAGCGAAGCGAGCTCTCTTTGTTGAAGCAAAACATGAAGAAAGCCAGGCAGAACAGCAGCGAACATGACAAGAAGCTTCGGAACCGTCAACTTGAGATTGAAAGTCTCCTTACTACTATCATCGATTTGGAACGCGACAGCAAAAACCTGGAGAGGTCCATTCGAGGTAAAGAAAAAGAGAAGGAAATGCAAGAGGAGAAAATACGCCGATTGGAGAAAGAACTGAATGAGCTGAAGGATAAGCGATTGCTGAAACGAGAAAAGCCGGCAAACCTGGACGAAGAGCTCAAAGAGAATCAAGAGAAGTACAGCAAGGCGATGCGAACTCTCAAGGGCACTGAGGCTGCGGGAGAAACGCTGAAGGCTGAGCGGGAGAAGTGTAGGAGTGAAGTGCAGCAGAAAGAAGCCGAGCTCAAGAACCACCTGAGCGTCTTCGAACGGAAGACCAGGAGCCTCAAGAACTCTCGTCCAGACATCTACCGGGCCTACGAGTGGATCCGTGAGAACCAGGACAGATTTAGCGAGAAGGTGTACGGCCCCGTCTTCCTCGACATCAACGTGAAGCAGAAGGAGCATGCGGTAGTAGCTCCTCCTCCTCTCTTTATCGTTCCTCACTGCTCTACGTCTGCAGGACTACACGGAGGCGGTACTTGGCCGCGACATGGACTCTTTCGTGGTGCAGGTTAGTCAGAGGAGAGGCGAGCAGAGCAGAGCAGAGCAGAGCAGAGCAGTGCAGAGCAGAGCAGAGCAGATCCAGAGCAGAGCAGCGCCAGAGCAGAGCCAGAGCAGAGCCAGAGCAGAGCAGAGCAGAGCCAGAGCAGAGCAGAGCAGAGGAGAGCGACGCGCTTGGTTGTGAGCCTGAGGCAGAACCGTCAAGATCGCGAGATCCTCACGACTGAGATGAACAAGCCCAACTCCCCGCTCAAGCCCATCACCCTCTACACCATGCCCCCCGGGGCTCGGACCTCCAACTTTGAGCGCAAGACGCAGACGTTGGACAGCAAGGTGCTTCAAGCCTACCACATCACCGGGAGCCTTCTTGACGTCGTCGACGCCGAGCAGCCGATGCTGCAATGGTTATGCAGTGAGAAGATGTTTCACAGGATCTTGTTGGGCGATAGCGTCACATGGCAGAAGCGAAATGAACTGGCGGAGGGAAGAGAGTTCCGGCATGAGGACCCGCGTACCAAAAAGTTTCGACATCTTGTCGCTGGCGATGGCTTGTACACGCCAAACGGCTCGTTCCGAGTCAACTTCAGTATCCACGGGTCTCGCAACATGCTCTTCACTTCGAGTGACGTGAGACCGTCAAACCGTCTGATTGTCGGCGATGACTCTGAGAACGAGCGCAAGAATCAAGAGATCCAACGCTGCAGAGAGAAATTGCAAGAGCTCAATCAGCAGGTGGACGAAAATCAACAGCTCGAAGACCAAGCTCGAGCTGCCCTCAATGCAGCTGGAAACGAGTTGAAGAAGATCAAGGACTTGGTCGTCCAGTTCGACTCTAAGGTGAGCGGTGGCGTGACGCCAGGCAGACGCTGAGCCGTCGACGTTGCAGGCGCTCGACAATCAGATCAAGGAGAAGGAGAAAGTGATGAAGATGGAGGCCAACAAGAAGCCGCTGCAGGGCAAGGACGAGCTTGTGGCCCGCCTCAAGAAAGTTCTTCAGCGTAGGAAAGACTCTTGCAAGGAGGTTGCGGACGCTGTTCGCACATGTGCAGAGCTGCACATGCAGCAGGTGGCGTCAGTGCTAGAAGCCGAGCCCTTGGAGAAGAAGTACAAACAGGTAGAGCAAGAGGAGGGGAGCATCAAGAGCCAGTACAACACTCTCAAAGAGAACTACGACCAAGAACACGACGAGATGCAGAAGATCAAGCAGCGGATGGACACGCTTCGCCGAGACATGCCGGAGATCAGCGAGGAAGACCAGGAAGCTTTCAGAAACTTGGAGGAAGGGGAGGAGGAGCTAGAGAGGAAGAGAGACAAGCTGAAGGAAGACATCTCTAAGCTCGGCATCCAAGCTGACCGACAGGCTGAGTTTGATATGGTCAAGTCGCAGATAGAGGAGTTGAGCGGGGAGCTCAGCAACTTTGCGTCTGCGGTAGAGGAGGAGAAGAAGAAGCTGGAGAGGAAGAAGGTAAAACTTGCTTGCGTGTTGCTGGTCAGATGGTGACCCAAGGGGAGCAGAAGTTGTGGCTGGACGGGGGAGACCGAGGGAACCCAAACAGGCAAGTCGGACTGCGAGAGATCGTCGAGAAGATCAACGAATGCTTCAGCGACTCGTTTCAGCGCATGGGGAACGTCGGGGAGGTCAAACTACTGGAAAAGAAGAACAAGTGGAACGAGGACGACTTTGCCAACTACGCCATCACCATCATGGTCAAGTTCCGCGAAGAGCAGGAGCTGCTGCCTCTCGACGGGCGGGTGCAGTCAGGCGGCGAGACGTCGCTGTCAACGATGCTCTTCCTGCTCAGCCTCCAGCAGATCACCAGGTGCCCCTTCCGAGTCGTCGACGAGATCAACCAGGGCATGGACATCCACTACGAGAAGGTTCGCAGCCCTCCTCCCCTCACCGACCCCTTGGCTCCTCCCCTCGCCTCCTCCCCTCACCGACCCCTCGCCTCCTCCTCTTACCGACCCCTCTCCCCTCTGCTGCTTCTGCTTCCCAGCTGTGGTGCTGACACAGGGAGCAGGCAGTCTTCGAGAAGATCGTGGAGTGGAGCTGCCGGGAGGACACGTCGCAATGCTTCCTCATCACTCCGAAGCTTCAGGGGAACCTGTTGGCCAACGTGAGGGACCATATCTCCGTCTTGTGCGTCTTCAAGGGAAGAGATCTGTACACCGACCAGGAGGGTTGGGTGCTTTGAGCCTCCTCCCCTCCTGAAATTTACTTCAAACTCCGCGCGCTCTCAATCTTCTCCTCGCCTTCTCCCCCTCCCCTCCCCTCCCCTCCCCCGCGCTATCGGCTGATCCGCCATGTCAAGGGTGCTGATTGGCATGCTGAGGGAGGCTGCTTGCCATCCTTCACTTGATCTGCCGCCACTGCAGGCGGTCAGGGAGGAAGAGGCAGCGACGGCAGCTACCTCTTTCGCCGCGAGGTTGACGAAGAAGCCGATGCTGGCAAAGGACCTACGGGTGATGATGAGAAGGATGGAAGATGAGGGAGGAGGGAGGGGGTTGCGGGGAGGAGAGAAGGGAAGGGAGGGAGGGGGAGGAAGTTGTGGGCGAGGAGGAAACAAGGAGCAATCACATGGCATTGCTGCGAGTGAAGTCGTAAGCTAGGAGCGCGATCATCCTGCCTTGTGAGTTCTCGACCACCTGACAGACTGTGAGTTGACGGCTGCACGACAAGGACGCGCCTGCAGGAAAGAAGGAAGCGCGTCCGGTCCGTACTGGCGGAAGACAGCGAACTCAGATCGACGAACCTGCAGAGGAGCGTGAGGGAGGATGGGAGGGGGACGCCAAATCAAACCTCTCCAATGGTTACTTGTTCTCGGAACTCAGCAGACAGTGCCTTGAATATCGGGAGCACATGAAGCTGCTACAGGGTTAGGAGGGGAGGGAGGGAGGGAGGGAGGGAGGGAGGGAGGGAGAAAGGGAGGGAGAGAGGGAGAGAGGGAGGGAGAGAGGGAGGGAGGGAGGGAGAGGAAGGAGGGAGGAGGAGGAAGAGCTAGCACCTGATCTGCAATGTAGACGAGCTTCGGCATGGGATGGGCGAGGAAGCGGCTGTGACTCGCGTCCTTGTCTCTGAGCATCTGCGAGGAATGAGAAGGAGGAGGCTGATGCGCAGCTCACCTGCACGTAGTCGGGCATGTGGGAGGTAAGAAAGACGAGGATGTCGTCCCTCCTCCTCGTTCTCCTCGTGTCCATTCGCACAACACGATGCCCTCCTCCCTCAACCCTGGGCAAGAAGAGCAAAACTGTTGGATGAGCCTGACGAGGCAAGTAAGTGGAAAGGAGAGTGGAAAGGAAGAGAGACTAGAGGCTAGAAGGAGAGGGAGAGACTAGAGGAGAGGGAGAGGCTAGAGGAGAGGGAGAGACTAAAGGGAGAGGCTTCAAGTTTACCTTCCCCTCCTGTCGCTTCAGATACTTGGAGGCTGTTCGAGGCGCCTGGTCGATGTTGAGAGAGACGAAGCCGACGAGGTGGCGGAGATGGGCAGCAGCTGCATCCCATTCAGCTGCGAACAGACTCCAGGCACTGCAATCCTGCCAGATCTCGTCACCTCCCTCCCCCCACCCCATCCCCCCATCCCCCCCGCCCTCTCCCCTCCTCTTCCACCCCCGCCCCCGCCCTCTTTCTCCTCTCTCTCATATCCTCGTGCTTTCACTTACGCTGTGAAAGTAGGCGACGGCTGTGAGCAGGTTGGAGTGCGACAGCAGGCCCTCGAGCACACTCTCGTCCTCCTCCTGACGCCATGGCACGAGCTGTGCTGAAGTAAAAGCAGCATGACAGACAGCAAGCAAGAGGAGAAGGAGAGAGAGGGGAGGGTAGCTCCTCCTCCCCCTCCTCGTCTTCGTCGTCCCCCTCCTCGTCTTCGTCGTCATTGTCGCATCATCGATGACTGGACACACCAGGAGGGCAGCAGCCTCCCCCCTCCCTCTCCCTCCTCTTCTTTTTTGCTGCCCTCTCATGGTCTCTGCGGGCTGCGCCGGGCCAAACGGAAAATGGCGGGGAAAGCCAAAGCAGTGGCGATGGCGGTAGAGGAGGAGCGAAGAAAAGCAAGGGAGGAGGCGAGAGACTTCGCAAGACAAACTATGCAGGTACGATGAACGAGAGGAACATGGATGAAGGAGATGAAGGAGGAGGAGGCGGCGTTGGTGATGGAGACGATGATGATGGAGATGATGGAGATGCTGATGGTGATAGAGACGATAATGATGGATGTGATGACAGAAATGTTGATGTTGATGTTGAAGGAGATGAGATGGATCCAATGATTTTACTTCATAGAATCTGGACATCGGCGGCATCAAAGTGGATGCTACGTATGAAGAACATCTGCGGTCACTGTGCCGGAATGTTATCTCGTGGGTTGACAGTAGGGAAGGAGGCATGGGAACGATAGAAGAGTTTGTCAAGAGGCTGGGAGAGATGAAAGGTCTGCTGGAACTCGCCAAGTCGGAGGAGCGAGCCAAAGAGCGCGAGCCTCCTCTTCCTCTCAACGTCTTCGATGGGGAGGAGATCATAGTCACGGGGCCAGACTTGCAGCTGACAGCCGCCATCAAGAACGGGAGCATGCCCGAGCTTCACCGCCTCCTCCAGCTCCAACACGGACGCGCCATAGTCAACAGCCAAGACGCCAGGGGTTGGACAGCTCTCCATCATGCGGTGGCTTCTAGCGAGTACGACATGGCGAAACTCCTAATCAGGAGTGCGGCAGACGTCAACGTGCAGGACCGGGAGGGCTGGACGCCCCTGCATCTCGCATGCGCGCACGACTGCCAGGATGCCATCGCCCTGCTCCTCTCCTCCGGTGCTCAGATGGACGCGCACTCCAAGGAGCTAATGTGGACGCCGCTGCACTTGAGCGCGTCCAACGGGAACGTCGAAGCCGCCCGGCTCCTCCTCCGAGCGGCAGCAGACGTCAACATCACAGCGTCCAATGGATGGAGCCCCTTGCACTTGGCAGCCATGCAAGGCCACACAGAGCTGGCGGTCTCGCTCATGATGGGAGCAGAAGAGGGCGTGGAGAACCTAGCAGATGGAGGGATGACGTTGGAGTACTTCACTGGAGATGGCAAAACCTTGGGATCAGGCTTTGATGCTGGTCAAACCGCCAGCTGCTACAAGAATGCGCGCACTCATGCTCAGATGGCGGCAGCTCAGCTGCGGGTAGATGACAGGAAAAAGAAATTGGCGGCGGCGGCTGCTGCTGCTGCTGCGGCGGCGTCGAAAGGAAAGGGGAAAGGAAGAGGCAAAGAGAAGCCAAGACGATGACTGAGAGGCTCACGGGCATACCGTAGTACTGATGGTGGCAGGGGCCCAAGGCCAAAGTTTCGGAGTTGCCAAGTTGACTTCCGAAAACGGTAGTCAGTTCCGTGGACTGGCAGCCTCGGATCTGATGCGTGTAACTATAGTATAGTATAGTAGAATTTATTTTTGGCCAGTCCTGACTGATTCAGGCTCTCAATGATTCCTGATGATTCCGAATGAAGCAGCGGCCTTGAAAGTTCGATGCAGTGGGCCGCCCGTTGACTCCACGGTGAGCCGCGACTGACGGTTGACAGACCGTGCGGCACTGCGGCACGGTGGTCACCGGCGGGCCGGACTGCCGCGACGCGCCGCGGCGCCGGATCCGAGCCGGGCGGCCCCGGGGATCCGATCATGGCACGGGCCCCGGCCGGTGACCGGGCGGCAGGCGGCCCGGGGCCCCGGGCCGGCCCGGCAGTGAGACCGGCGCGGGCCGTCACCGCGGCGAGTCACGGTGATGGCCCGGCCCGGCCGGCCCGGGCCCGGCGGGCGCGGCGCCGCGGCGGCCCGCAGCCTGACGCCGGGTATCAGCGGCGGGCGAGGCAGTACCGCCTACCGCCCGGCCGTCCTTCAACTTGGCAAGCTTCCGATTCCGAGCCTCGTCGGAGGTTTTACAATCCCACCCTCGTGCTGGAGCTTGGCATGCAGACCAGCATCTTCCAGCGCTTGCACCGCTACTACCACGTGTGGACGAGGGTGTTACCGTACCTCAAGCCAAGTTAACTTCCCGTTACCGTACTACCATCAGGCTCGGCGGCGGCGGGCCCCGCGGCCGCCGGCCGGCGGGCGGAGGGCCTCCGGCGTACGGTCGGAGCTCAGGCGGCCGCGCCTGGTGCCACTGCCGGGCGGCGGCCCGGCGGGCCCTGAGTCCGAGTCACCAGGCTCAGGGAACTTCACACGAGACGGTTCCGCCGGACGGCTGCCAGCCTCGCGGCGCGGCTGGCCGCCCGGTGGGCCCGGCGGCTCACTGTCGCCGGCTCGGCCCCCTGCGCCGGGCTGTGCGGGAACTCAGCCGCACCCGGTGACCAGCTCAGTAGGCTAGGTTTGATTGGTTTTACAAACAAGAAGTCGGGAGATCTCCAGGTCTGAGATACCTTCATATCGCATCGTCTCAAAGACTAATCGTTTCAAAAGAGATACCGTGTGACACGATCTCAGATCGCTCTCGGACCTTCGAATACACCTCTTCGTGCGTCAAATAATATTTACGTTACCAATTCTTGTGAAGAAGAAACGTTTCGAGGACGGGAGGTCGCTTGGGTACAGCAACACAGGTGCAGGGCACCGAGATCGCGGTATCTGACTTGACTGGTGGAGTACGGTCGTATCCGTACCATTACCGTCATTCAGGATTGAAGTTGGGAATCAATCGTGATTTTCTGAAAGAGATTGATTTTTTCCCGTTTAACTGTGAAATTTGTGGAGAACTTTGGTCAAAATGTATCGAAAATGGGCGGTACTGGAAAGTCGATCTGAGCGATCTCGACGACACCCTGATCAAATCTGAATCTTGGAAAAGTCGGGGTGGGGGGTGGGGGAGGATAATTATCATACTTAAAGGTTTATAGGGGGGGTAGGTGGGGAACTCCATGCGATATCAGTGGGGTGGTTGAGGGGTGGGGCCATTGAGACTCAGAACTGAAGAGGCTTCATACGATTCAAGTAGTAAAAACAATTGAATCTAGTGCATACGATATCAACTCTTTCCTCCTTGTCCTTTCTAGCAGATTTCAAACTTTCAAATCTTTACCTGAAAAATCGCGGGTTTGCTGCAGGGGGCTGCGGTCTGGATGCCGTGACCTCACATCGTCAGCAGATCAAGAAAACCCAACGTTTGATCCCTTATCTTGAGTCTCTTGTATCCGAAAAGTTGCTATTTCAGACTCTTAGGTTTTCTGAGATACCATTAGTAGACTGATCTCCTCGAAAATAGATCTTTTGGGGTACAAAACGGTTTAAATGAACCTTACCCCACCCCACCCACTTCCTTCACTACATAACCTCCACGAATCTCAACCACAACTACCACCCCCCACCCCCAGTAAATCGAGTTTGAAGACAGTAGGTAAAGGAGATCAGGTAGCCTTGACACTCCAGGAGGATATGCGGACCTTTTTGTATTAGTATCTGACATATAACTTCATCTACCTTTTTCCCATACCTTTTTCCTTCTACTTCTTGGCAGACACGACCCACCTCCACGACCCTGGAATGGTGAGATCGCTTCCGACCTCCCCCCTCATATAAGGTTCCGTCCTCTCGTTTCCTCCATCTCGTACAAACTTTCTCCACCTTCGTTCTTCTCTCACAGTTGTTAGCCTTCTTTCAGCACGCTTGTTTTCTCAGTGCATTAGAGCCGTCTCAGCGTTCAATCTTCTCCTCCCCTCCTCACCCTCTTTCCTACCTATATTGCAGCTATGACCCAAAGTGGGATGGTCGCACTTCATTCCAACAATCAGCTTCCTTCCATTCATACTTTATGCAGCAATGTTGCTCCTTCAGCCACAACGCCCGTTTTCAATATGCCGAGGGAAAACTTGTTGTGCGATTCATTTGCTGGTATCCAGCAACCGTTTCAAAATGCATCAGGCATGTCAAACTCTAAGGATGTCGACATCTTCAAGATGTTGCCATCCCTGAGGGACAACAGCTTTGTTCCCCCGCTCCTGGCAAACAGACCACAAACTGCAACCAATGTTCAAATGAACAATCTAGGGGCGGTCGATATTGCTGCTCTACTCAGGATGCAAATTGCTGCGCAAACCAAGATGAATGAGCCCGACATGAGAAATTTTCCGAACAGGATCTCCCAAACACAACAGGAGTGCGATTGGACCAAGATCGCACAAGGACAACCCTCTTGCAACCAATCTCCTGTGTGGAACAACAATATGATGGCACCCAACATGTTCAAACAGGAGCAAGTTAATGGCAGTACATCCTCTCCACAAGGAACTCAATCATCGTCGTCAAGTCCGACACTGGAGGGTGAAAACATGGTTGATTTGATTACTAGGAACAAGGCACTTAAGGCTCAACTGGAAGAGAATGAGCAGAAAATCAAGTTGTGTTATCAGCTTGTGGATCGGATGACTAAAGAACCGACCAGCTCGACTCAAAGCAAGATTGAGGTGAAGAGGATTTATTCTTTGCACGATCCTGTATTAATCCTTGCTTTGCAGACGAGTCAGTCAAGATATTGGTCGGAAGCTGAGCACAAGAAATTTTTAGAAGCTGTCCGTTGTTTCGGAGCACATAATCACAAAGCAATAGCTGCTTATGTGGTCACAAGAAATTCGGCCCAAGTTCGGAGCCATTCTCAGAAATTTTTCAAGAAGCTGGAGACTTTTCAGGGAAAGGGACTGCCTAGCATGGCGCGCAAGAGAAAGGCCGTTGCAAATTGATGTTGTTCAAACAGTGTAAACTAGTGTTGTAGTTTTAATGATAAAGCTAATCAATTGTTCCTCAGTCTGAACAAAGCCATGACTTGACAAACGTAAATTGTATTCGAAGAGTCCAAGAATAAAAGGATGCACAGACCGGCTGTCAGGACTGCATCCTGTTCGTCCTGGTTGCTTGTATTGGTCTTTTGTAAGTTCCCTACTTTGGCAACACTCCTTCCTGCTCGAGAAAAGAGAGCATTCCTTCAAAATTTCTGTCTCCTTGAAACAAGACTGGAGTAGCGTCTTCGAATACCTCGGGGTCCTTCATGAGGAGGAGGGTCGGCAGCCCCTCTACCTGGAACATTTCACAGAACTCTCTCTGTTGATCACAGTTCACAGTCCCGATCAGCACTGTCCCAGGATTCTCAGAGTGGATTTTTTTTGCCAAATCATGAAAAGATTTGGCCATGTTTTGACAGTGTCCACACCAGGGCGCCATAAATTTCACAAAAGCAGCTTTGAACTGCTTGGTTTTGGCATCGAAATTTTCCGGTGTCAGTTCAACAGGACCTAATTCCTGTCCCTCTGCAAATGCCACGAATTCTTCTGTTGTTACCTTGCCATCACCATCGGCGTCCATCTCTTGTTTTGTGGTATCTGCGTTCTCCTGTGATTCAGCGTACTCAACAAATTCTTCACTTGTAACTTCCCCATCTGCATTCAGATCTGCAGGATGAGTTTCTTCTGTAGGAGGTCTAAGTCCGCAAGTACCAGGATCTGATCGAGCAATGGGAACAACTGACATCAGCATCAGAGCCATTGTCATCATCACAACCAACATTGTCCGCGTTTGTCGCATTGCGGCCGCCATGATATTTTATTACGTTACAACAGTTAAATAGGTTACAAACCGTTACTTGGGGATCGTGTCGCCCGGCCCTTGCGCCCGGCTCACTCAGTGAGCCGGGAGTACGGTCAGGGCCGGCGCTCAGGCTGCCCGGCACTGCCCCACTGCTTTTTAACTTAACTTTGGGTCAAGCTGCACAACCTGTCACAGTGTGATCATGGCGGACTGCCGGGTGACGATGCGGCCCAGTACACCGGCAACCTGGTCGCCTTCAAACTGGTGTCACGGACCGTCACCGAGTCACGGGCCCGGCCGGGCCTGTCCCAGGTGAGGCTAGTCCCAGCCGGGCCCGGCCCGGGCGCACTCAGGCCACCAGGCCCGGCGGCCGCCGCCCGAATCCCTTGATGGAACGTTTCGACCGTTGCGTTTATAACGGTTCAGCCCGCCATGCTGTGAGCCACTAACACACCGCGTTTTCATCCTGGATCCTCCTGCTCCTGCTCCTGCTCCTGCTCCTGCTCCTGCTCCTGCTCCTGCTCCTGCTCCTGCTACTGCTCCTGCTCCTGCTCCTGCTCCTGCTCCTGCTCCTGCTACTGCTCCTGCTCCTGCTCCTGCTCCTGCTCCTGCTACTGCTACTGCTACTGCTCCTGCTCCTGCTCCTGCTACTGCTACTGCTACTGCTCCTGCTCCTGCTCCTGCTACTGCTACTGCTCCTGCTACTGCTACTGCTACTGCTACTGCTACTGCTACTGCTACTGCCCCTGCCCCTGCCCCTGCCCCTGCCCCTGCCCCTGCCCCTGCCCCTGCCCCTGCCCCTGCCCCTGCCCCTGCTGCTGCTGCTGGTCCTGGTCCTGGTCCTGGTCCTGGTCCTGGTCCTGGTCCTGGTCCTGGTCCTGGTCCTGGTCCTGGTCCTGGTCCTGGTCCTGGTCCTGGTCCTGGTCCTGGTCCTGGTCTTGGTCCTGCTCCTGCTCCTGCTCATCCTGGTCCTGGTCCTGGTCCTGGTCGTGCTCGTGCTCATCATGCTCGTGCTCGTGCTCATCATGCTTCTGCTCATTTTGTTCTTAGTCCTGCTCGTGCTTCCAACTCTCTCTCCCCCCCTCCTCCCTGCCAGTTTCCCTCTTCCACCTGTGCAGTACGATAGCTCGTTGCCTCCTTGCTGCTATTTCCCATCCACACGGCTAAATCCCCATCGTCGTCATACAAAAACGACCGTTGTCGAACCACGCTTTCAGGCTGCTCGCTGTTAACACTTGTTGTCATATGAGTCGTATTGTATCACACTTTGGTTTGCACCTAACTTGAACTGATTTCAAGACACAGTTCTTTGCTGTCTCTCATTTTCTTAACACCGTTTCTGTTCACCAGGATGTCACCCTCCTGATGAAGGAAGGAGGTGACTGCCAGCAAGGGGATGATCCCATGATGAGGGAGGACCAAAACCTGGCAGCAGAACCAGCAGAACCCGGCAAGCTATCAGAGAAGCTCAAGGAATTACAGACAAAAGCGAAGCAAGGAATAGATTGCCTGCCAGCGTCTCTCAGATCGAATGACGTGTTGTCCTTCTGCCGTCTCCTCCTTCCCGCGCTTTTGCAGCCTCTCCAGCCTGTACCTCATCTTCACAAGGAGTCTGATGCGCTCCTCGACTTGAAGAAATTCTCGTCGTGGGATCAGGCGTTCCCGGCGATATCGGACGCCTTTCAGGCATGCGCTTCGAGTATCGCCGAGGAGATTCAGGGTAACGACTCTGGGGATGGGAAGGAAGGAAAACCGGCCAAGGAGAGCTTGGTGGAAGGTGATGTCTTGCGTCTTGCCGGTTGCGAAAGATGCGGGCGAGTTGTTCTCCAGCGCAGGTTCGCCGCGCACTGGCAAGAGTGTTCGCAGATCGAGTACGAGAAGGAGAGGCAGGGGAACGGGAACCTGAAGCTCAAGTTGCCCAACAAGCCGCAGCCCAAGCTCAACGTGCCCACTAAGTTCGGACTCCCTAACGTGAATAAGGGAAGTGCAATCCCGTCCAAGCGGCGCAAGGTGGAGGGAGGAGCAGGGGTGGAAGGCGGAGGAGCGCTGGAGATAGAGATCGAGGTGATCACATGCGACGGCTGCGGGCTCTCCCCGATCACAGGAAGTCGCTTCAGCTGCAACGAATGCGATGATTTTGACCTCTGCCAAACTTGCCATGCGCGAGGTCTTCCTGCGGACCGGCACGACCCCTCCCACACCTTCTGCCTCGTTGCCATTCCCGTAGTGTCTGCTCCCAACGCCGAGAACGTGAACCCAGGGGGAAGCCCGTCAGGCAAGGGAGACTTGATGAAGCCCAAGAAGACCAACGCCATGGACCTCGACCGCATCTGCGGGGTGATGCTCGAGACCGGCGGCAGGTGCATGCGGACCATCGACTGCAAAGCGCACACGCAGGTAGCGAAGCGCGAGGTGACGGGGCGGTCGCGACCCTATGACGACCTGCTGGCCGAGAGGAAAGCGTTCAAAGCGAATCAGCAGGCCGCCGCCCTCGCTGCTCCCAACGGTGCCATGGCGCTCCGCCCGCACAAGGGAAGGAACGACCTTGGGGACGAGGAAGAGATTGGGTAGGGCTCCAAGAGCAGCTGAGAGTGTCTGACGGGTGCGGCAGCCCCTACGGCCTGATGGGGAGGAAGAGGAAGCTGGAGAGCATCGAAGCGGTCAGATCAGCCGATCCCCTTCCTCCTTCTGACGCTTCTGGCAAGGGTTACGAAGAAGCGAGGAGCAGGCTAGAAGTCGACGGAGAGCTGTTCTCGAGGTGCCTTGCTCATGGCGCGATTAGTGAGCCCCCTCATGTGCTCGCAGACTTCCGTCCTGGGAGGAGATGTGTGTCAGCTCGAGCGGTAGCTGAACATGGAGGGGAATGAGAGTTGACCATGCCGGTGCAGGCTTGATCGCTCCTCTAGCTTTCAAGTCATTTCCGCTGAGAACGATCTCAGCATTTGACATCTTTAGCCGGAAAGAGAAAGGGTATTCCTCTCCTCCACGTCCTTCCCCTCTTCAGCTTCCTTGTCTATCCTTGTTTCCTATCTCCCTTTCATCATGCTGTCTGCAAACTCTTCACACCTCGTTATCCTCCTCTGCCTGCTCGATTCGCAGTTCGCTTATGGCTGTTCAGCTTTATTGGCCAAGCGTATGCTCCACCTTTGCCGTTTCTCGGTGAGACAGAGAGGAAGGAGGAGAGGGAGTTGAGGTTGGAACAGGCCTGTCCTCCAATCACCCAGTTGCTTCCCTGGGAGATTCTGATCGGTTTGTCCTGTTAATAGCATCTAGCTTAACTAACGATTGCCATCACCTCTCTTCCTTCCTCCTCTCCTATTCTCTCAAACCCCTGTCTTCCTTTTCCTCTGCATGTTTTTGTCCTTCAACACTCCTTCTTCCTCATGGATCAGGTTGCGGAACCTTCAGAAGAAGGCAGTCAACAGGGCTCCTGACGATGCCTCCTCCAAGTCCTCCTCCATGCCGCCTACGCCCACAGAAGCTGCTCGGGCGCTTTCTGGGGGGCAGGAGGCGTTGCCGCCGAAGGTGATGGTCAAGCCGGCTGTAAGTGGAGAAGAGAAAGGGGAGGAGGATGGAGGGAGAGGAGAGGGGAAAGGGAGAGAATGATGTGAGGAGAGAATGACGTGAGGAGAGAATGATGTGAGGAGCAGGTCAACGGACAGCCAAAGAAGAAGACAAAGGGGGCCCAAAAGCTGTCAGACTCAGCAGCCTCCTCCCTACCCTACCAAGAAGCCCCGGGAGCCAACCTTGCTTACGCCGCCAACAAAAACAAGCCCAAAGGTCGCGACCTGAATCTCCTCTGCTGAAGCCTATAGACTCTTCCTGCTCCTCTTCCTCTTCGTCCTCTCCGCCTTCCGCTGCCCATGCCAGCAGGCGAATGCTGATGTGGACGAGTGCAGGGGCTCCAACCAGCCTCGTTGGCACGCAAGTGCATGGGATCTCCGTATGCTCCCCTCCAGTGTCCCCTGCCCTCACTGGCTCTTCAGGGAGCGACTTCGAAACCCACCGGAACCCCGACCGCTGCTGCTGCTGCTGCTGCAGGAGGTCCGAAGGATCTGAGCAGGTGGATCTTGCGTCCTCGACCTCCTTCCTCTCACCTTGTTTCTTTCCATAGGACGCAAAATATCCGCCAGGTGCGAGACAAGGAGGGAGCGAGCAGCTTGCGCTGACGCCTGCGGCAGACACCGAGCATGCCTCATCCCTCTGCTATTCCCTCCACTTCCCCTTCCACTTCGACTCCTCCAGTATCTCGCCAGGTTCCCGTAGCTCGCTTCTCCTCTCCTTACCTTGCGCAGCCCCCCAACCAGCAGCTCCGCGTCCGACAAGCCTTCAAGTGGCCGGTGCCCTCACCCTCCGTCCTCCTCCTCCTCCTCCACGTCCTCCTCCTCCACGTCCTCCTCCTCCTCCTCCTCCTCTTTTCCACCCTCTCTCCGCCCTTCCTCTCTTCTCCTCTGTCCTCTCTTGTTCGCACTCACTCTCTGTCTCAGTACAACCTCAGAAAGAAGGTCATAGACAAGACCCTCGTACGCAGGTCTCATCTTGCCCCTCGCCCGTTGGGTCCTCACAGCCTGACGCATCTCTCAGGCCTCCCTTCACTGTCATGCTGCCTAGCGGGCTCGATGTGAATACCGCCATGGTCATCCTCGACCTCAACGACAACGTCAGGCTCGGCACAGAGCACGATCGCGCTCCTTGCAAGTCAGACCATGCTGCTAGCACTGCCCCTCCCTGTTGCTCTCCACCCTCCCCTTCCTCGCTCTTCCTCTTCCCCTCCCTCCCTTCCCCTCGCTCTGCTGCTCCTTACGCACACTCGCAGGCCGGAGGAACACAAGGTTGAAAATCGCTCGGACCTCATCCAGGTCATTTTCCACCGTCGCAGCTCCAACCAACAGGTGAGCAGGAGCAGACAATTGAGAGGAGGAGGAGTAGTAGTAGTAGTAGTAGTAGTAGTAGTAGTAGTAGGAGGAGGCAGTGTCTTATATTTGAGCAGGCTACCGTCTACGTGGACAGCCTATGCTCAAGGTGTCTCCAGTGTTTTTTTGTCACAGACGCGGGCTCTCGGGCTCCCCCTCCAGCTGGATCGGTGCCGGGAGCTGCTGCTGCAGGAGCTGCTGCAGGATCAGCGGGAGGGGCGATGGGAGGGGCGGGGGGGGCGATAGGAGGGGCAATAGGAGGAGTAGGAGGGCAGGTTAGGGGCAGCTGGGCAGACTGGAGAAGTTCTGATGGAGCTGGGCAGATGACAGCAGGGGGGAGAGGAGCTGCTCCTCGCCTCTCAGCTGCCTCCCCAGCTGCTCCTCGCCTCTCAGCTGCCTCCCCAGCTGCTCCTCGCCTCCCAGCTGCCTCCCCAGCTGCTCCTCGCCTCCCAGCTGCCTCCCCAGCTGCTCCTCGCCTCCCAGCTGCCTCTTCGGCTGCTCCCACGCACTGGCCTCCCGGTCGGATGGGTCGAGGGGGCGGAACGAGTTAGACCAGGCAAACGATGTTTCCTTAGATAAAGCATTCCCCATCTCCTTCCCCATCTCCTTCTCCTCCTCATCATTGTGTTCGCCTTCTTCTCCTCATCATCATTGTGTTCGCCTTCGTCTCCATCATCGTCGTCGTCGCTGCCTTCTGCTGCTCTTCTCAATCGCGTCCAAGATGCTTGTCGCCGCTGCCTGGTGAGATGCATGAGAGAAGCAGAAGCAGAGCAGGAATGGCAGGAGGGGAGGAAGAGACCTGTCAGCGAGCGAGACAGATCAATGGAGGTGGAGGGAAGTAGATAGAATGAAACATACATGGAAACAGGGGGTCGAGCAGGAGGAGGAGGGGGGGCAGGAGGGAGCAAACCTCGCCAGTCAAGTAGGCGCCATGAACGCACTGATGGCCCTCTAGAGAGCATGCTTCTCCCGCCCAATACACGCGACCCCCATGCGAAGGAGCTGATAGAGCCCTCACATGCTCCGAGTTGGACCCCAGCTGAATAGGTTTGAGGATGCGACTGAGAGGGAGGGGAGAGGATGAGACCTTCATATAAGAATACGAACCACGCGAAAATTCATCCTTGTCCCACCTGTCGAGAGAGTCGGGAGTGCGAACAGAGCAGAAAGAGAGGGGTAGAGGAGGAGGAGGAGGAGGACCTTGTGACTAGATAATCTGCGAGCTCTGGGAGAAGATTTCCGAACATGTCCTGCAAGCAGCTGCACGAGAATAGCGCCGGTGAGAGGACGGAGGTAGACGAGCATGGAGGACCTAAGAACCTCCTCGAGGAGCAGCTCGTCGGGGATGTCAGCATGCGAGAGAGGAGGCGAGAGGTGGGCGATGAGCGTGTGCTCCTTGCCGAAGAAATGTCCGTTCAAGAACCTGACGGGCGTAAGCTGCTGCAGCTTGCGAGGACGATGCAAGCGGAGGGGAGAAGAGGGGAGGGGGAGAGGGGAGGAGGAGAGGGGAGGAGGAGAGGGGAGGGGTAACGAAAGTTGATTGAAAATGAGCTGAAGAGTACTCGAGCAGATGATGAAGAGGGTGAGATGAAAGAAGGAAGAAGGAGAGAAGGAGGGAGAGGAGGAGAAGGAGGAGTCACCTCACGCAGGGGTGGATACACTGAAGGTAGGGAACGTCTTTTGGCCAAAAGCAGCGCGAGAACCGCAAGATGACCTGCATGCTGAATGAACCTGACGCTCCTTCTTCCCCCTCTCCTTCCCTCGCTCTGTCACCTTGTTCTCGACCCCCATGCCTAGCGCGTGAATGGCCTGCAGCTTCTCGTCGGGGAGAGGAGGAGAGAAGGAGACGGCTGAGGCCTGTAGGACTCCAAGGGGGAGAGTGACGATAACGAAGTCTGCAGCTTTCTGCTCCTTCTTCTCCTTTGCCTGCGCTGAGACCATCACCCTCCTCCTCCCGCTCTCACTCTCTCCAACCTCTCTCCGCACAAACTCAACCCGGCAGCTCGACTGCTCCTTCTCCTCCACCACGATCCTCGTCACCTTGGAGTGAAGGCTGACAGCAATCTCCTGCCGGGCCAATAGTGAGTAGAGAAGGGAGGAGGGAGTAGAGCAGACAGGAGGGAGTAGAGGAGAGAAGGGATTAGAGAAGAGTAAGAGGATGTGGAACCTGCTCCAGAGCTCGGACGAGGAAGTTGGAGTAGCCCTCCCAGCACCACCCCTTCGTCAAGATCAGCTGTTTCCACGTTTAATCCTCCCCCCCGTCACAACCCCTGACCTCTTCCTCCAGGGTTTTCCCCCCCCCCCTTCCTTCCTTCTCCTCTTCCCCCCTCCTCCTTCTCCTCCCCCCCCCCCCTCCCCCGGACCGTAAGTCTCCTGCTTGTCCTCTGACATCTGGCGGATACCTGACACCTGGTGAACATAGCAATGGAGAGAAGAACAAACTCACAGCTGGGCTCGAGCTCGACCCTTCTGGTCTGAGTAGACCCAACGAACTTGACGAGGACGCGCCCTCCTCGCACTTGAACCACCTTCCCTTCTCCATCAGCCCTCCACCTCCTTCTCCTCCTCTCCTTCAGCTCCTCTCCTCCTCCTCTTCTTCTCAAGCTACCTCCTCCTCTACTCACCTTCGCCTTCCACCAGTCTCCGTCCTCGTAGACTTCGCAGGAAGCTCCAGGTGTCATCCAAGAGTCCTCTTGAGACTCAGCTGGTGAGGATGGGGGAGGAGAGGAGGAGGAGGAGGAGGAGGAGTCACTGTCATGGTAGAGAAACTCTTGTTCGGGCCCAATCGCTCCAACTGAAGAACCTGAAGAAAATTAGGATGGACGGAGAGAACGAGAAGGAGACGGAGGAAGGAAGTGGTTGGATGAGTAAGTAGTTGTTAATTGCAAACAACGTCACCAAGAGATGAGACGATGATGAAGAAGTGATGATGAGAAAGAAGATCAAGATAATGATGTTGGGGGAGGAGGAGGAGACGAGAAGAGAGGAGGAGGAGGAGGAGGAGGAGGAGGAGGAGGAGGATAAGCTTACCTAGTGACAGCTCTTCAATGTCGGCGACGTATGCCCACGCGATGGATGATGCAGCACGTAGAATATCTTCCTCCTTGGCAAGATTTCAGAGAAAAGCAGAAAGATGAGACAGAAGGAGGAGGAGGAGGAGGAGGAGGAGGAGGAGGAGGGAGG